CTTCTGGATATGTTGTCTGTTGCTCATCAGCAAAATGGCCTTTACCTCGTCTCTTTCCTTTTCCTTTTCCACGAGGTCTGAAGAATCTGCGGCCTGATCTTCCTTTGCCTTTTCCTTTTCTTCTTCCTTTTCCTTTGCCTTTTCTGGCTCTTCTTCCTTGGAATCTCCTTTGGAACCACGAGAAGTTTTGATCATCATATACCCAAAAGACATCGTCCAGGGCATCTAAAAATCCTTCTGTTCCATCTTCTTCATCTTCGGCCCAATAGCCAAATGTACCATCGAGTTCTCCTTCGTCTAGTACAAGAAATGATCTTCTACCTCCAGCACCTGTCGGCTGCATCAAAGGATTGTCTACTGAAGTCTTTGTCGTGCAGAACATCTCGATGAACACTGTTCTCAACTCTGTTGTAGTGTATTGCTGCAGGACCCTGCCACGATGAGTCATCAAAGAAGTCAAAGTGTTTCGCTGGTCCTGAGACAAATCTGCAAGGGACAGCATGAGTAGGGCAATGAGATTTTCTCCTAGAGGAAACTCATTCTGATGAAAAGTCCTCATATTGCCATTGATGGTCTGCATGATTTCCTGAATCCTTTCTGCCGTTGGTGCTACTCCAGTCAACGCTGCATCTGCCTGCATCTGTGCTAGGACTTGTGGATGTGCTTGAGTGACTGGTTCTAACATGTCCATCCAACTGCTCATAAGCCTTTGGAGTAAAATCTGGAATCTTGTCATCCATTTCATCATGTCAGCTGATCCTCGATTGAAGCGCACGAATTGCATGAACCTATACAGGAATACATTGGTTGATCCTTTCACGAAATATGGTCGTAGTACTCGTTTGAAATATTCTACGCCGGCTCCTGGTGGATCATTTGCCTTCAATGCATCTCTGTCTAAAACACGCTTGTATACAGCTGCTTCTCCTTCTAATCTGTTTCTCAATGCTGGTCCTCTTTTCTCATCTTCCAGCTCGGTGATATCACACCAATCGTCTATGGCATCCTCATAGGAAAACCATGAAGTCTTTCCATCATAAGATGGGGGCACCTTTGTAGTGACCTGTGTTGTCATTGCTATTGCTGCTGGTTCTCTTCTCACATGCCTATTCACGTAGGCTGCTGGCTCATAAGCCACATCCGCATCAGGCTCTTCCCAGTCGTCAATCCAATCCATGGCCGTTTGCCCACTAGCAAGTCTATGCCTAGGAAAGGAGCTCACCTGGGTCTTCCAGGATCACTGCTCCGCTACCACTGAAAGAGTGACTAGGGCGTACACGGTAGAGGTGCAGACCGCTAGTGTCTTTTATGCGCAGAGTCTTATCCTCTTGCTCTTTTGAGCCTTGGAGCAGTCAAGCATGGACACACTATATCAGCTGTTGGAGTGGAACCCTGTACAGGTAGGCTCTACTTTTCAGGGGGGGGGGCCCCCCCCCTACACGTGAAGTTTTCACGTGATTCATGATTCTCGAGGCTGCGAGCCCTTGACTTGCTAAAGCAAGAGCAACTCCAGCTAGCTGATGCTAGCTTTCGTGATAAGCTGGCAGACCTGACCTTCAGGTTCTATAATTGAACTGGGCTAATGTAAAGCTGCAAAAAAATATAGTGAACCTACCTGACATCAGGTGCACAACATCTTGACACATTCTTTGTGTCTTATGTCGAAGATCAATGACAATTTCAGATTGCCATGGACCTGATTTATGCAATGTATGTTGAGAGAACAGGCTCATGATGCTCCTTAAACTTAATCTGAAAACGTGAGCGCAGAATCATGTGTTTAGTTCATTTTCAGACACTTCAGCCGTTTACAGGTTGAAGTAGACTTGGTGGCTGTTTTGGCGTGCGCACCACACAGAGAGATGAAATTATAGACCAAAGGGGGGTGGGCCCAAGTCATTTTATAGAGGTTTGGGGGTTGCCTGCACCTACTTTCCGTAGCATATGAAAAACCACAAGGAGCCATGGCTTTCCAGAGTTTATTCTATCCAGTACAAGCAAAGTGCTCCAAATGGATTGACAACACAATCCGTCTACATTTTGGAAAGCACCTCTCCGTACTTCAGCACAAGATTGCTGATGTTTCTTTCAGCTTGCTTCTGTGTCCTCTATAAAATAGGGAACTGACCCGCTCAAATGGAAGGGCATAACATTTTTTATGACCTACCATGACCCCCTCATGTCATAGATGAAACCTACACCGGTATCTAAAAATGTATTGGAAACCTTTTCTATCTATTTGAGGATCACGATAGGGGAAATTAACGCCTCACAAGGCATGGTCCTTCGACAACAAAAGGGGTCCAAAGACCCCGTTCCTGTGTGAGCTGATGCAACGCCATTGTAACACCACTTGGCTCCATTCTAGAAAGTAATGTAGACTCTGACTCTTGATAATAATCCCCCCATGTGAAGGTGTTGAGCGCATCCAAATGGGGGGTCATTCATCAAGTCTACATCACATGCACAACCTGTTCCTGAAATCTCCTGAACCTTCATAAACATCCATCAACCAACCCTGTCGCCCATCTTCGCTACCGCCCTCACTGCTCCCCGGTCGCCCTCGACCGAGCCGCGCCGTCGCTCGGGGTCGGGCACGTGGTCCCACACGTCGGCGGCGTCGCGGAGCGGCTTCGGAGGCACCACGCTGGCGATGGTCAAGGTGATGTCGCCTTGGTGCACACGACGAAGACGAAGGACGGTGAAGGCGCTCTGAACATCGCGTGGAGCATGACCAATGCACTTATAGTCTTTGTAGTTGTATACATATATATTTATACGGCATTTATAAGGTGTAATTAATTGTAATTAAACCATATGTGGTTTTGAAGAAGAATCGTTCTCGTGCCATCCACTTTGCCATCCACTTCCCATGTGTTCGTTGAACACGATGTGTATCGGATATATCTCTACCAGCGTCACGCAGATCTACCAGCCTCCCGGCCCTCCGGTCCTGGGATCTATACCCTCAGCGCATCGGGGTGGTCCCGGGCCCTTACCGGTGGGGGTCCCGGGCGACTGGTTCCCAAACCCTATGTGTGGCTTTTGAAGGGCCCGGATGTGTTGCAAGGGTAGGAAGGTCGAAGTGCTGGCGATCTTGCAGGTCGTGGGTCGTGCCACAAAGGGCAACCGTCCCACACCGCTGTTGGGAGGAAAAGACCAGGTTCTACTGAGTCTTCTGGACTTCTAGGGCATTCTATAGGGTGTATATGGTATATGGCCCTCACAAGTGGCCAAACCGAGAACCGCCCCTTCCCGACATCGTCGGAGGCTTGCGGAAAGGAACACCATGGGCACTGGGCATTCTGAGCGCTGAGCGCGAACCGAGGGGGTGCTTTTAACCAGGAAGTGCCGCAGGAAATGAACACAATCACATATGGTTGTGGGTCCAAATAGGGTCCAAAAGGCCTGCCCTGCAATACCATGTAAAAATGACATCACCATGAGTCACCTCATCAAAGGCAGTACCCCCCATCTTAGTGAATGCGACCTTTTCGCGGGTATGCGAGTTCTGACGTTCTGATCCTTTGAGATCTGCATCCCCGGCACTCTGAAAGGCTCGACGGCGTTGCTGGAGGCCCTCGGAAACGGGGCGGGAAAGCCCGCCCGGGAACGGTTCCGAACAAGGACGTGGAACGAAGCAGCCTGGGTAACCTGGTTCAACACTTCAGGTCGTGTTGAAGTTCTGTTGACTTGTCTAGTCTTGTCTAGTCTTGGTCTCCCCTTTCTGCGCCTGAACGCTGGAACTCGGGGTCGGTGTGTGTTTGATCACCCTCCCCAAAAACATGAAGGATATGGACAGAATGATCTCTGATATCTGCACAATGGCTAAGAGTGCAAGCACTTGTTTGTTGGCATTTGTTGGCCACATGTTTGTGGGCCTATAAAATAGAACTCCCCTCCTATCCGCTCGCACCTATTCCTCCCCAAGAGTGTCCAGTGACAAACTTTGCACGACGTGCCCATACGTTTTCCTGTCCGCACGAGGGAAGCCATTCCCACAGATGTGTGGGATTCACATGCTTTCACCCGGTAAACTGGATCAATGGGCTACAGGTGTTGACATTTGCCCTCAACCATCCAGCCGTGCCTCCTTGGTAGTCTCGCTCTTCTGCAAGAGGGTCATTCTCCTTCTCGCGCTCTCACTCTGGCTGACGCTTGCTGGCTGACACTGATAAGCACAATGGCTGCGGGTCCAACATAAACATCAGGGACTGGGATCCTGCCACATCTATTGCTGTTAATGATTCTTGCGATTCTTGAAGGTTGTATTGTATTGTGTTTTGGGCATTGGGGTGAGGCTCCTCAACACTCAAAGGTGTGAAACGCAACAAAATCAAGGTGTCACAAAGGGTTCCCAACGCAATTTCTCAAAAGGATTTATTTTCTATCTTGTACATTGGCACCACTCAGTCGCTATGGATGGTAAGCAAAAGCCTGCTTTAGGACTTGTAGGGCCGGCATGGGCCTGGTCTCAACAGCACCCGGGCCTCGACTTCACAAGGTTGTACAATATTGATCATTTCTGCACTGCACCCGTTGTTTCCTACTTGCCACTACCGCCACTACTATATGATTACTGAGGCATGGCAATGGAACAGTTCTACCAAATCTTTGGACACCTGTGGGTTTGCCAGAAACTTCTGTACTACGTGCAATAGGCGCCCTTTCCCCACATCTGATAGACTCTCTCAAACCAACACATAACGCCGTCAACGAAAGCAATCCGCTGAATCTACACGTGCATTCTCCATCGCCCCTCTCAAAATGTGGAAGAAAAAAGAATACAACAATAGATCAATTAAACAACAACAAGGAGAACCAACCCTGCCTCATCACTTTCACATGTTTGAATTACAGCCCCCACATCCATCGGAGACCCCAGCCCCGCCACAATCAACATCCAAAAACCACCACCCTGACCCTCCACAAATCACCAAAAAACCGCTCTCTGCGGGACTTCCCCGCTCTTCCGGAAGTCGAACCGGTCGCCAAGGCACTTGCACTGCAGCGTAGTGTCGTTGGAGCTTCGGGTTCTCTGCGCAGCCCGGCGCGAAGTCCTCCAGTCGCAGGCCGTTAACCACCGCCTGAGCCGCCGCCTGGAGCCGGGGGGCAGCGAAAGGTTCTGGTGGCTGAGGGTGGCTGAGGGTGGAATTTTTGGATGTTGAGGTGTCCAAAACACCATGGGAGTGGAGAATGTTGAGGTGTTTGGAGGTGTTTGAAGGAGGTCAAGTGGAAGCCGACCATGAAATGAACCAAGAGATGGCATGGTGATGAGCCCAGGTTCTTTCCGATCCGCCACGTAAGCATGATTAGACTAGCTATGATTAGTCTCATGCTCTGAATTGGTCTTGAGAAAGGTGTCTTTCCGAGCCTTCAGGGGCTCCAAACTGGCCAAGTTTGTAGTTTGGACATGTTCAAAAGCCGCCCCTTCTGTACAGTGGTTTCAGGAGTAGATGGCACTAGCACCCAAAAATGTCTTTATATGTCTTTTATATGGGGTTCCTTCTAAACTTTAGACCACCTTTTGGGGATTGTGCAATCTACTCTGAAACCACTGTAGTTCTTAATTTTTTGACCACGTATACCACACATCACAACGCACCATTCTGAGTGACTCAAGCCTTCAACGGTGCCGGCACTTCGGATGGCACGCCGTAAGGCAATGGGAAGCCTGGACGAGATGAGGAAGAAAACAACGTGAACTGCAACAGGGGTTCGGGGATTCGCTACATTTGCATGAAGGGGACTCCTCGATAAGATCGAACTCCTCAATGAGATGACACGTTTGGACAGATCTGAAATATTGAGGGACTCCCACTACCCCACATAGAATCAGGAGACAATGAAAAACTCATACATTGACTCATTAGAATTACCCTCCCTCCAACAAACATGGAAGTGGAGTTCCCCACCTGTTTGGTCTTCGGAACATGGTCTTCCGAAATCGGCGCCATTTCATCCACGTTGGCCCATGATTGTTTCAGGAAGTGTACCACATGTCTTAATTGAAAGGTTATAGCTCAGAAATCATCTAGAGTAGTCTACTCTAGATTATAGGCTCTTTCTTAACAGTCATCAGCCGTACGGAATGAAGATCTTTGAAAAGGAGGGAGGTCATCTTGCTGTCTTCTTACCATGACAAGCTTCCGGAGGCCCATCGGACAAGCGGGTCCGGGCCAAAACAAGCGCCTCCCCTTTGCACTGCATGAGAAACACACGACGGAAAGCGCTTCAAATCGCATCGCATCTATTCTGAAAGGTTGGCTATTCAAAGAACATGACGGTTGTCATGGTAGTAATTGGTAGTTCATTTTGTGAGAATCCTTCCAAACATTGACATAACACCCTGGAAGGGAGGAATGTACATCTCTCCAAAATTTTGGGCTCACTCTCTGCCTGTCAACTCCCTCCCCAGAATTTGCGCAAAATCTATCGGCACCCATATCGGAAGCACATTCTGGACCAAATCAGCATGATGGCCATCCATCGAAGACCCCATTCTCCACGATCAAATCTCTAAGTCCAGCACTTTGGTTCCCAAAAACGACGCCCCACCCACGCTCCCCGCGGCGAGAACTCGCCACACGCAGCGCGAGACCGCGAGGTCCGCTCGCGCGAGGTCCCCGCGCGAGGTCCCGGCGCGATCTCGCCCAGGAACTCAGCTGTCGGATCTCTTCGGCCCAAGGCAAGCGGATCATCGCCTCGCGCCGCGGCCCGAACGAGACGCACGCCTTACGAGGCTCGCGGAGCGGTACTCCGAGCGGTCCGCTGTTCGTCGGCGGCGATTCGGGGGAGCGAAGTGGGAACGTCGTCGAAGATGGAACGAAGGGAAGAGATGGATTGGAGAAGTTATGAAGGTTTCGGGAGGATGGGCGGATGGGGGGTACTCTCTCTCCCCCTCATGGGTCTTGGGTCTTGGATTTTTGGACACTGGACCTCCAAGAAGCATCTGATGGGCCTGTCTGGGAATGGGGAGGTGGACATGGAAGTTGCCCATGTCCGCGTCCGGGGCGGCCTCCGGACGCATGCATGTCCCGCATGGCGCCCAGCGTTGAGTGGCCCATTCGTTGACGACCCGAACGCTGGTTCCAGACCCGAAGGAGCCGCAGTGTGCAGATTGGGCGCTGAAAATCCGCCACAGGTACCAGGGCCCGCCGTGCGCAAAACGTCCCATGGACATGGAACATGTAGTCTGATCGAAACAATAACGGCCATCTTCCGTTACAAACTCCTACAAAGGTGTTCTGACTGGCATTCTGTAAAGAAACCCAGTATTCAAAGAGAGGGACATTGGTAAACGCACGACAAATGATGACCTGGCTGCCCTAGCCCCCATTCCTCTTGCAAAGCTAGGGGGCAAAGCCAGGTGGCCGCACTTGCTCTCCATCCTCTTCCATTTCAGCCTGGTGCGAGGTGTTTCTAGTTGTTCGCCTCGCCAAAAAACTCCAAGCAGCAACAGTGGAGAACCAGAAGAAGCGAAACCTCCACTTTGCTGGTGGCTGTACACTGTAAGCCCATAAGTGAGTGGACCATGTGACATTTGCCTCTTCAAACATGAAGAAAAGGAACATCCAAAGGCAGTTACCTTATGCTCTGCTTGTCGGACATCACGGGGCGACCCAAAATCTTGGGACCATTCTTCTTACATATTCTTATATACATCTTCTTACAACCATGGTTACCGACGACTTGCCAAAGGCACCCTGGTCAAGCAGCTTTGTTCAGTCAGGTTGAGGCCGTGTTTCTGTTGGAAAATGTTCGAGACTGCATACCTGGCATACCGTAGCTTTTGAACAGGAGGCAATACGAACGCCATCTCAATTCCTGCATCCACATGACCATGACTTCTGAGGTTTCTTGGTTTCAAACTTAAGAATCTCCCTGCCTCTCTCGCAACTGAATCGACCATAGTACCAGGGTTGCATTACCACGTTGGCACCCGATGTCCACTCCGCCCGGGGCCCACTCGCCAAAACAACTCCATCCGGACTGGTCGGCCGAGGGAAGGAAGGTAGGACCTTCGAGTTGAAGTGGATCTTAGGAGGGCTGGCTTCTTTGTGTATACATCTCTAGGGATCCAAGTACCTTCTCAGAGAAGGTGGTTGGGGTGGATTTGGGGGGTAGCCCTAGGATACATATAAAAATACACACCCTGGGATTCCAACAGCCATTGTTTAATGGTCTCAATCCCGAACAACCGTTGTTTGACTAAGGATTTTGCACTTCGCAACACAACCAGTTCAACCATTTTTGTAATGGTCTTGGAAGGCTAGGGTATGTATATATGAAAGCCGGATGGGCCAGGGGATCAGTTTTTTGTTCCGGAGGTCCACAGAGATGCAAATTGGACGCTTCCTTTTCTGTACCTGACGAGCACGGCACCCGGCATGGCCTGTGGCATCAAAGCCACCAAGACGGGTTCGCTATTCTTCCGCGCCACGTAGCTGCAAATGGCCATGAGCTCTCGTTCCAAACAGCTGCCTCGTCCCGTCCAGGAGCGACCCCCTGCACTGAATTAGGTACAGTAAGTAGTCTTCTGGAGCGATCTCTTCCCAACTGATCTGTTTCGGTTCCTTGCTCAATTGAGTTTTCACTTGCCGAATGTGAGTAGTTATATATGGGGCGAAGCGAAAAAACAGTATCCGATTACCAAAGAATTTATGTATGCTTCTGTTTGTTCTCTGACACATAGGTGGTTCCCAACAGCAGGCTTATCAACGTATGCAGCATGCAGGTTGTCGCACAAAAAAATATACACGAGAAACATGCAGTTCTAGACCGTTGGAACACGTCCCATGGGTCCAAAACCCAATTGCAAAGGAGTCGCTAATCATTGCCGAGAGAAGCTGCGCGGAACCCTTCACACCTTTCCTGCGGACAGCTGTGCCGCTGTAGATTATTGGTCTTAATTTTTCGCATGTCCAATGCACAAAAAACATGATGCAAAAAAAACGAACAAACATGGGCGACGCTCCCCGAAAAGGAATTCTAATTACATCTAATTACTACTTCCCGCAACTCCACGTACACAATTGAAGGGACCAAAAACCATGAACATGTTGATGGGTCAAACTGCTTGGACACAAGTGATTGCACCCCCTTCCCCACTTCCTGAATTCAAAATAATTGCAACAAACAAAGTTGGGTCATGTAATCAAGGAAAATGAACATCCAACGAACCGTGGTGGGCCATGCTAGTGTGCTACCTCCCTAAACTATCCTGAGTCGACCTAGCGGCAAAAATGCAAAAAAAAACAAATTTGACCGCTAGTGGAACGAATGAAATGTTCAAATGTTATTTCGTTTGGGGGTTTGGGGGTATGAAGTAGCGCGGCAATGGAGCGTAACTGTGTTGGCCAAAAACTAACAAAGGCAAGGCATCGTCCTTTCCACTGATCTTAACTGGTTGGAAGGCAGTTTTTCCCTGATTTGTTTCCGCCCCCGTTTATTTTCTTAGAGAGGGCCACTCACTACCAGCAAAAAAGTAACATGCACAGGTTTTTGTCTTCCCGTCGTGAACCTATCAGTGCCGAATAACAAGCGACACTACAAGAGAGGTATCTAGCTATTTCTTTTGCGGGGGGGGAACCTTGCACGAGTACCTGGAAAGGCCGCCGAAAAAAAACACACACACACACACACATTTTACTCTTATGTTGGGACTTGCCCAAAATGCCCCGATTTACATGAGACGGCGTCGCCGAAAAGGTTTCAAGGCTGGTGTTTGAGGAGAGGGGTGTGTACCTTCTGAAATCTGCCAACGATTGATTTTGTCCTCCTGAACACCCGCCCCAAAGAACCATAACGCTAAAGGTTTGCCGAAATAAAAAGTTATCACTCCTCTTCTGGGGGTCCGAAGAAATGGTGGCTTCAGTGTAGGGGTTTGAAACAATTCAGGGACGCTTGCAAACGATGCATGTGGATACGGCATGCACACGTGCAAGAAACACTACTGCCCAAAGTGTGCCTTGCTGGGCCTCTGCCAGCTCACGCGATTACAGATCGCCACCACGATGGGTCGCGCATGGTCGCGCGCTGTCCAAGATGTTGGACAGCGGTCCGAGTGCGCTTGCGTGTTGTTTGACATGCGTCCATCTTCGACATGAAGCTCTTGATCCTGATCCCAAAAAGCGTGACAATGCCAAACCGTGCGAAGTGCATGGTGATGTATATGACGTCGACGACGTTGTTTTTTGACTGTGATTTGCGCCCAGATCAAAGTTTCGTCTGAGTTCTGGGAAACAGTTCGCAAAAGTGCCGATGGTTTGAATTCTTGATTCAGGCATATAAACCATATATATATATATATACTATATACATACTTTGTATATCGACCTCAGGAACTTGTCAGGCTCAACATGTTGATTGAACCTCTTTGCTTTAAGACCCTCGCAGGACACCTTAAGACCCTCGCAGGACCTCGCACATGGCACCCAACCAGCACTGAAAAGGAACGCCCCCCCCGCAGAATCCAGCGACATTCGCACTCATGTCGCCCCGAGCGTCTCGTTGGGGTAAACGAAGTAGGCGTGGAAGATTCGATGATGATCTTCAAGGGACTTGGATGGCCTTGCTTCGAGTACACTGAAGTGAAAGAATCACTGAAGTGAAATCGATGGCATGGCGATTTGGGATGCCGTTATCCTCATACCAAGTAGGTGGAGAACTGCGCTGGCACTTCCATTCAGGGAGAATAACCCAAATCAATGGCTTCACATGCCGTTCTCGGTTTAAAACTCATCACACCACTCAAGCCTCATAGAGGCACAAAGCTAGTACAAGTAAGATTGAGAAAACAGTTGCACAAAATCTCCAACCCTGCATCTTCATGATCTGTAGAAAAAGCTCTTACTTTTGATTTGCTTACATTTGCTTGGCTTGAGCTTCCCTGGACACCTCGTCTTGGCTGGTGCCAACGTCTAACTCCTCTAAACGATTTGGAGCACTGATTCGGATCCACCGCACTTCATCGTTCGATCCACCACCAGATCGATCAGGATGTAATGCAACATCGGATGAAACGGAGAGGGTCTACAAGCGCCCAGCCAGGGTGCCCATGGGTTCTTTCCAAGCGGCTTGAATCCCAAGAGCCTCCTTAGTGTCACAAGAAGGCTCTACTACCCCCCAGTGAGTGAGCTTCTACGAAACACAGGGGCGCGAGACGCGGTGTTTGGAACGGAAGGTGTGCAGGGTTGACCCATGCCAACTCCAAGCAAAACAAAACCGCACCGTTTCTCCAAAAAAATCTACAGTAGGGCGCCAAGGTGACACCTACTCCATGAAAATTCCAGCCCCCCAGGGCCCCCACCCTCTGATTGAAGAAAACCTAGGGGTGGCTCTGCCAAGGTGCAGTCCTGGATCTCCAAAGTGTTTGGCCTCCATCGCCTCTTGTCTACTCACCTGGATCCGTGAGGTGCCTGCCACCTCGGCCGCATGACGTGGGGTCACCACCCCCCGAAAAGGTGGTGGGGGGTTTCCTGCAACATGTCCCATAAAGCCAATTCTGAGAATCTATGACCATCTTATGTTAACCATCTTATGGTTAGACCACGTTAGAATCCAATTCTGAGAATCTAACCATCTTATGTTCAACTCACAAATCTTAACCATCCTTTTTGCGGTAACCCTATAAAGAGTTCCAAACACGACCAGTGTCCCAACTCCTGGAAACCCGGTCCCAACCAGAAACAAGTCCGGATGTTTTTTTTCCCCAAGCAAGCACTTGTTATGTTCAGGCTCTCCATTGCCGGAAAAACCAATAGTATTTGATGTCTGGTTGTTTGGGATGCCAGGCTCAGAAACATTCAGAAACCAATTCCAGTTCCACATGTCCTGCCAGCATCGCTTCCGCTTCGCTCCGCTTCCGCTGGGCCTCGACATAAGTCGCGATGTCATCCACTGGGTGGAGCAAGGCGCCCGTCTGCTCGCAGATCTGCTTCGTCTCCGCCTTCAACGGCTTGTTGTTCTCCTCAGGAGTCAGGTCAGGTAGCGGGACCTGTGCTCGTCGCGGATGCGACAAAGGAGCAGCTCACCAGTGAGCGGATCTGGCATTTAGCATCATTTAGCCTCATAATTTCTCATACTCATGGACGGTTTCATCGGTTTCGGGAGATTGAAGGTGTGAGCCTCAGTTTGCTGGCAACAAGGATATGGAACAAATACACACTGCAGGTGGTACCAAACAGCTACAGCTTCGCTGTCCAAGCCCAAAAGCCACTGAGTAAGACTAAAGACTAGACCTATACTCTCACAAACACTCTCTCCCAAGTGGCGTTGAGCAGGTAGATGGGCGCAGGGATTTTGGCCTCCAAAAGCGTCACAAAGATGCTCACCGAGGCTTCGACGCCTCGGCCGGGTCATGTGCTGAAGCGAGCGCCGGAGCGAGCGCTTCGTGGACTTCGACCGATTCGGTGAGGGGTCAAAGGAAACGCGTCCAAACGGGTCGCCGAGAGCCTGGAAGCCCGGCAGTTGATTCCACAGCAGAGAGAGAACCACGTGGTATACAGTCTTTTTACATGTATATACCACTATGATACACTATGCATTAAATGGTTTCATCTTGTTTCATCTTCTATTCTGAAGATGTTTCTTTTTCTGGGGGGGGGGAAGGGGAATGGGACCTCTCTATGACTTCAGGTGTACGTACCTCTATGGACTCTATTGGTTGAACTGGACTGCGGTTCGGATTCTGGGGACTGCTTCCGCATGGGAGATGTCTTGGTTTTGAGATGATCTTACACAACAACAGGATCTGGCAACCTGATGCCATCATGCCTCATGCGTCTTCCGTTCGTTCCATTTCTCTCTCTCTCTCTCTCTGAGGGAGGATGGAGAGAATCACTCACCCTCTACACCGGGCACCTGCGAAACAATCGAAACACTCGGCTTGTGATCGCCACTCGGATGTCCTCTCTCACTATATATTCTCATCTCAGTCTGTCTCAAGTCTCAGTCTCGCCCCGCATCGCCCCGCGACTTGAAGGGTCAGTCATGGCCCGTCCGCGCCGGGCGCCTGCACACACGTAGAAGGTGAGCCGTTGCAAGGTCCGCTTCCGATGCACCCGCATGCGGACACGCCGCTCCTGATCCGCGCACAGGAGCGGATCGGACTGACCACCACCACCACCCAGTTCCAGAAAGGTCGTAGATCAGGTAGTTCTTTAGTTCTTTTTGTCTTTTTGGATCCTTTTTTGGCACCGGTTGGCTTACTAATAGCTCCGCGTCATGCTTGGCCAGTGGCGAATCCTTGGGTCATGGACGTGCGAAGTAACAGGCTGGGAGAATCGTCCTCCCTTTGCAGCTATAGTCACTATATATAGTCATCCCACCTCCCGCCCAACCGCTCCACTCGCGGGACCCCCCCGTGTCTCCAGCAATTCCAGTCGCCCACTCGCACGGCTCACGTAGTCAGTGGGATCTACGGGAAGCAACGCACCCCAGAAGCGTTCGATGGAGAAGTCCTGCGTTCGTTCGTGCCGGTGATGCAGTGCCAGTGAGTCAGTAAGGCATGTACCCCCGAGTCAGTCAGTAGGGGAAAATGGTGTTCAAATTCATAGGACATCGCCACGACTTCAACATTTGATTGTAAGGCCTGTCTGGTCTTTTTTCTGGATGAGTGATGAGTGGAACTTTTTAGCAAAGCCCTTCGTGTCAGCCCCGCGTGTCGCTGGCGTTGGGGTGATCGCCAGTTCTCGTGATCGGGTGATCACTCCCCTTCACGACAATGTCCTCCATCATGATGCATGCCAGGCTTTTGGCCCGGCCTGAAGAACAATCAAGTCTTAGAATCCCCTTCTCCATCTTCTCCCACAGTGAAAGCTTACAAAAAGGAGCCACTCGCCAGGCCCGTAAAAATTCATAAAGCTGTGAAAGCCTTTGCCAGGCCCATGTTCTCGCCCATTTCGGTCCTTCTCTTCGAAACGCAAGGGGAAAAAGTCAATCTTCACGTCCATATCCATGAGATCCTGCAGAAAAAGAAGTTCAGCAAAAGAATGAAGTCAAGCTAGCTGCATGACCATGTGTTTGTGTTTCTGACATTGTTCACCCTGTTCAGGATTCTGGACATTAGTGTCCTTTCGCAGATCAACATGTGGATCTTTCGCAATCATGGAAGTATATGGAAGTGGACAATTGCCCCAGCACGGGGTGAACTCCCCTTCCATGTTTCTACGTGTAGAGCCCTGAGCCAATGATTTTCACCTAGATGCTGCTCTCACCGTTGTGGTCTCACCTCAAGTCTCTCTCACGCACACCCACGCGCGCACGCACGATCCACCACATCTCCTGCACGCGAGTGCGTGCTGCGTGCACCTCATCGGCGGACGCCGCCGGCGCGTCGTTGCAGGTGAAGAGGAAGATGCGAGAGTCAAATTGGTTCCTGAGAGGAGCTCCAGGAGTCAAACGGTCAACGTGATTTCCTATTTATTGTATACTTGTTCTCCAGGTAAATGGAAACTATTGGGTGTTCTTACCTCTGTTGGAGCCAAGCCCACATCGCAACATGTTTTTGGCTTAAAGGGGGAGCCATTCTTTGATAGCATCGCATGACATGACATGGGATGCTTTAGTCCACGTCTGGAAAAAACTACGTATGAAAAACTGTGTGGCTGTAGTAAGGCGGCAGGTCGTCGACTCTCATGACAGGCATGTCAAAGAAGGTCCTACCCCGGAAAACCGAATGGAGTGAGCAATGGGGAACACCAAAGTGGAAGTAATTGAAGCATATTGAAGCATCGTGATTCTGCACCACCTACAGAACATGACAACCCCAAAATCAAGCGGCACGCCTTTCAAATCCCTTTTGTGCATGATCTTCAAGAGTTGTCACTTCCACAGAGGTCTCATTGAACCTTTCAGAGGTCTCATGTTCACATAAGGTCTCATTGACCTCCCTGTGGCTCAGTGGCTCCGCTTCAACCCCTTGGACCGGCAAAACACCAGCGCAGCGACTCGGTCCGCTCTTCAGCGAGCTGTTCCAGACGACCGGTTCCATACCCGATGTCGGTCACCGGGGGTTGAAAGGCCAACCTTTGAAACCCCAACGTCGGTCCGATTTGCTGCTGGGGACCGGGAAGAAGTAACAAATGTAACAAATACATACGAAACGCAGAAAGGGATTGACCCATATAGGGAAAAAAGAACAACAATTCCTCATGAAGCAACATCAGGTCCTTCTCTTGAGGCCATCTTTTCTGCTTTTGCGATGGCATGCGATGGCCATCAGGAAAAAACTGCATGACCCCATGAACCCAAACCAGCGGTCGCTCTGCAAACCCTGTTGCTTCGCGGCGTCTTCCTTGTTTTTTTTCTCTCAGCTGCAAGGTCCAACGTCTGTGAAATGTCCGCAATGGAATTTAAGCCCTAGGGCTCCAGTCGTACCTCCTCAGGTGTTTGGACCCTCTGAACCCACCCCAGCTTCTGAGAAGGTACGACTGGAGCCCTAGGGAAGGTTCTAGAAGTCACATCGTCGAGGTGCTGTGGCTCGTCCCATCCAGGGGCTGATGTCCTGGGCACCCCGAACCTCCATGGATAGCGTACCCCGAGCTCTGTGACTGCTGGTTCTAAGGACTGCCCGGTCTCTCTCTTGGGCCGGGCAGCTGGTTGGCACCCAGGTTGAAGATGGTGGTGGAAGTCCAGAAGACGTCGGACACCGGCGTGGCTTTTCCACAGCCTGGTGAGCTCCGAAAGGTACGGCGAAATCTGGGGAACCATCATTGCGAGTGGACCATGGATGGTCGTCAATGAAGTTCATGTTCAAGATCGTTCTAAGATGCTTCTCCAAAAAAAGGAACCAACTACGCCCCCCTGCCGAGGACTAGGACTAAAGCATGTTTCTTCTACAACCTGCCGGGTGAATGTCCACTCCACTGAGCGCTGGCTTCTTCACGTCCTACCCCTTCACGACCACCTGGCGGATCGAACGAACGGCAGTTCTCAAAAGCACCAGGTCACCCGGCCGTAACGCTCCTCCATCTGCTTGGGGCTACGACGGGCTTCCTCTTCCAGCTGCTTAATGCGCTGGGCCTCGAGTGTTCACCAAAGCGCGGGTGACCGCGAGGTCGGCATCGGACCGTCGAGCTTCGTACGGATCTGCAAACAACATGTGCTTGGAATGAAGAGGAGATGAAACACATGTTGAAACAGTAGCAATGAGGCCAGTCTGCAGTAGTCTCAAATGATCTACGAAGTGATAAAGTCTGATTCATATTCACAATTACAGGAGCTGATGTTGACTGTAGATTCGTTTCTTTTGTCGGGGAGTGTGTAATATATAAGCCTCCAAGTGGCACTGGGGCGGTCCAAGTCGAAGAGGAGTCGAATGCCATCGAAGTTATTGGGATTCTGCTTCTCCTTCACGCCTCAGTTATGCGTGAAAGGCCGCAAGAAGAGCCCAAACAATATCGTGCATGGTGTGAACATTGAGTGTCATGGAAACACCAACCCTCTGCTAAGTAACTAACATCAAGCAACATACAGCTGTGTGGATTGCCAACCTTGAAACGGATTTCCTTGAGTGGGAGGTTGATCCTGCAGAAGCAGGACAAGTGCAAATTTGAAAAACAATAATCAGGTAAAACCTCCCGCCAAATGCCCCAAACCTATAGAAACGAACAACGTCTCCTTTCTAAAGTAGGGTCACAAATGCACATGGCAGCAAAAAACCTCCAACCAAATCAACATGTGACCGTGAATCATGAAAAATTCAGACCCTAAGAATCATTGGACCCTCCGAACTGGAGGGTTTTGACCCTGCAGTTCGCAGGGGTTTGGAATGGTTTGGACCCGAACCAAACCTTCACCGAACTGAGGGTCCTTGATTCTTACGGGAGTAGGGATTCTTCATTGGCAGTTGTTGCCACTCCCCAAGTCGTTGCAGCGTGGACTCGGACCACTTGGACAACTGCTCCCCAGCAACGTCCCAACACTGAGAACCTAGCTACAGGCAGCCAGGGGCAAGTTTCAGTGGCTCCACCCGATACTGAGCCCACACACGGAACACGCTCTTTTCAGAAGTGGCTTGGACATCACTGGCCCATCAATTTTGGAGGATCCTTTCGCCCGTCATTCAAGTAGCCATAGAGCAGAACGCCGACCTTGTCATCCTGAGCTTGGACGGCGTGGACATAGACACGAACGCCGACCACCCAAATGATCCGCTCGTTGTATAGATCAACAGGGCCCTCCCACCACTGACCTGAATCACGGGCAAGTAACATCAACTAACTATGACTATATGCATACATACATACATAAACCAGGACCCTCCTGTCGGGATGCCCTGTCTGAAAGCCTATAGGTAGTGTGGGGTAGTCCAGCCAGGACACCCCGAAAACGGAGGGTCCTGGTATAGAGAGAGAGAGGAGAAAGATCATATCCCCCCTTCTAATCTTCGCAAATACGCCGGGTATGTTGGGATACCTGGGGCCCAAACGTGTTTCTTCGGAAATTGGAAAGTGGGATCGAAAGAGGATGTCCCAACGAGGTACCCGCAATGTGGTTTTCGCCCAAAGCCACCCCCTTGAGCTATAGAATGAATCGAATGAATGAGTCCAGGAGGCGGGTTGTACCGGGGTAAGCCATTTATTTTTCTCCGTACTTATCCCAAACAAAATGAACATACGCACTTCCCAAGAACTTCATGAAAGTCAAAGACTAAACATTTACAAAAAGAATGGTCTTAGGGGATGGGACTTTGTGGAACTGGAGCTTCCTTTACTTCAGCCGATCAACATATAGTCTTTGGACTTCCAGGGTGTAGGGTCATGGATCTGCTTATGTCCTGTTCATTCATGTCCTGAGCAGGCCTGACTTGAAACTCGGGGGCGTCTTCAGTATCTGATGCTTTCACCGACTCTCAGTGGTCGCCGCCGTCCTTGCCGTCTTGAGTGTCACGTGTCGGGTGTAGTGATGACCTTCGTCTTGAGGAGGCTCGCAGCAGTGGCAAGAGCTTCCTCGGTACACGATGGGTCATTTACAAGGGGACCAGCCACTCAATCGACTCCCATTGCTTTCGGTCAGATTGACCTGGTCCAACATGGGCTGAAGAAGACAGTGCTTTTCAGAGCCCCCGCAAATTGACATACAGAGTCTGAACTGGATTTTATTTTGATGGCCTACTATACTGTGAGACTGACCAAATCCGCAGCTGAACCCGGCCAGTTTCTGAACTTTATAATGTGTCCGTGAGACTACTCTTTGCTTCTGGGTCCACTCTTGGTCCAGGGCAGTGGGTTTCAAAAAATTACGAACAAAGAGCGTGCTGAACGATGTCCAAGCAAATGATGAAGAATTGCCACACTGTGATCAATTAGAAGATGCGATAAAGGTACGCCACCTACCCAAAAACGCCAGTGTCACAGGGCTTGACAAATATGCAATCAGCATCAATCAGCCGATCCAGCGTACCCCGCGCTCGACTGCGAATTTTGCTGCGGACATCCACATCGAGCGGCGGCAAGGAGACATCGGCCATCAGGCTTCAAGGGCTTCAGGGCATTGCTCGTGCAGTCCACTACCTGGGGCGCTGTTTGCAGCGAGATTCGTCATCGCGTTGGTAGAATCATTGATGTGTGTTCTCCAGCTTTGCCGCTACAACCAAGGAAGCGCAAACTAACCTTCAAGGGCACAGAAGAAACCACCCAATTCTCAACAACAACACCGAAGTAAGGGGGAAAGCACAGCAACAAAAAAGCCAGTCTAATCAGCTGGCTTGGAGGGTAGTCTCCATGGATCTACTATGGTGCCACGGGTGTTGATGGCTAGGTTGACCACACCTCCTCTACGCCCTCCAATAACAAGCACACCAGAGAAGTTGCATGCTAAAGTCGTAACATCTTCCTTTTTCACACGGAAACCTGCCAATGCCTTTGATCCTACAAATCCAGATCCAAACGAATCCAGCCAACATTGGGATTTCGTCGAGTCTATTCATGTCTATATTCCCTTCTTCCGGTTGAAAAAGGGGGGTTGATCTCCCAAGTATATATTATACAAGTACACACCCATAGGAACCAAGATTCCCAAAGGAGTTCCAAACACCCCACAGATATGTATGACTTCTGAGGCACGAAAAGGATGGCATCCTTCTTCTCGCCCTGATCCTAATGGTGCAGGCGTTCGCGCAAGCCGCGAGCGAACGAAAGCCGCCGAACATGTTCGGAATCGACTGGGCACGAGCCACAAAGTTCGTGGTGTCACAGTGGACTTGACACAAGAGAAGTCATTGCACCAAGGCTGACGCCAGAAGAAAGGCAACAACACATTGTCCTAAACAACGTTGAGCGAAAAAGGGAGAAGGATTGAGAGACTGGGTTCATCTTCTTTGGAATGCCCAGAGCACGTGCATGAGCACGTGCAAACGATCAAGTGGATTCACACCCGTATAGAGACATGACGTTTCACTCTTCGACTAATCTAAACACATGGAGAGTCTTCAAAAGAGCAGAGAATCGCTATAGACATCTATAGACTAATATCCACTGGGACAAAGAATGTCCTGGAGTCATCGGGAGAAGGGTCCCCTTCCCGTTCTTACCCTACCACCCGTGGGCACGCGTCCCCCAAAACGATAAACTTACTCCACTCCGCCCAACAAGTGGGATGGAGACACCCAGAGATGCCATTTCTATTCATTTGGCCTATCCCCTTGCAAACTAACATGCACCTTGAAAACCACCCCTTGTCCTCTACAACCCAGTGGTTTTGAGAGCCCAAGTTCATCCGCAGGAGAGAATTTCTCAACCACTGCCACTGTTTCTTCCAAACGACATGGACCCACCAGCGCTTCCCTCAGTGCCTGCGGCGCTCTCTCGCCCTCCTCGCCCTCGGGCATCAAGGGGTCGTCGCCCCCCGGACCGTCGAAGTCGGTGGGATCGAAATCCATGGCGGATCCACCACGCGGAGACCGGGGGCGGGCAGGACCGACGACCCGCGCACAAGCCACGGTCGCCAGGCGGGCGGGCGGTTGATGTCGCGCTCTTTTCGGTTCCGGTGCGAGCTGCGGCTGGCTGCTGATGTGATGTTTTTGTTCGTGCAACGAACGGTCAAATGGTTGGCCAGAAGAAACGCATTCCTATATTGACTTTTGGGGTGCAATGGCTGGGTTCCCTGATGCCATGCCCACGCTGAGCAGCTCTGATCCAGGCATTCAAAGCCTTTGGAGCTGTGCCGTGATGGGTTGCTCTGATGTGAGATGACAAACTCCGCATGACACAAGATTGCGCTATTCAGCCCGCTCTTCCCATTGAGCTGTTCTCATTCGTATTTGAAGTCTGAGCCGTGTGCGAGAAAAGCACGCATCCAGCGACACATACTCTGAGCGAATACGTGCGAGCATCATGTGACCACACTGGCAGCTGCCGGGCTACTGAGATCCAAGAAGCCCAGAAACTTAGTCACTCTCAAACCAACATGGAAAACAATTTTCAAAACACTACTGCACCTGCACAGGTTAAATTCCTTGACACTCAAAAAAAAAAACGTCGCTCACATGTTTCATGGAGAGAGTTGAACCTCGGAACCTGCTGATGATGGGGAACAAACCAAATTACCAAACAACTGCTGGTTCAAAAAGGTCCTCTACTGCTGAAGAATCATCCGTCGCCGGGGGGAGATGTCTGCAGCATAGTTCAGGACTATGCAGCTTCATAAAGCCCTGAACTTGGAACATTCGTTGGCAGCTCAGTCCGACTGAAGCGGAGCATGGAGCATGTCAGTCATGTTTCTCAAATGACTCGCATGACGTCGACTCTTCCGTGCACCATGTTGCACCTTCTACAGGGACTCATTTGGAGCTAACATGGGTAGATGGCATCGCCCCGTCATACAAAACATGAGAAAACGGTGGGTGTTCATTCCACGAAGCATTTTAATCGGGAGACCTCCAACCAATGGTAGGCTAGTCTAATGTTCTTTTCTTCCAGGGTGTCGTTGCCTGGGAGGTCTCCCAATGTTCCAATACACACCATGAAGACAACCAAGGAGGCAATAACCTCCATAAATATCATAAATCCTCCATAACCTCCCAATACACACCAAGGATCAATCACCTCCGATTTCGGAGGCACCATGCAAGTTCTTGATCCTTTGGGCTTTCGGCATGTCTCAAGGCAGTCCAGTCTGGTCCGCTGTCCCTCAACACGTGGCCGGTGGCACTGGTCCAGACGGTCGACCTGGGCGCTTTTGACCGAGTCTGAGCACTGGCTTCTGGCTTGAGGGAGGCCTCCTAGCCCTGGAAGAAGAAGAATCACCCAAAACATACCAATTAAACCCATCGCGGGGTGGAGATCTCCCTCTTCAAATGCACTGATGCTAGAGTCACGAGTCATGCATGACAGCTTTTTCAGTTGCGCAGTGCTGTGACCCTTTCCGGTCGCGCCGGTGGTGAAGGGGGACGAGCATTCAGGGCCGGTAGGTCGGAGAGATACCATGGAAGACACGCCTCATAGTGTGGGTGATGCCTTGTCATGTTTGCCGAAGACCACTTGAATCGAAGCACATTCGACTGACTCCCTCAGTTGCCCTGGAACATAAAGGTATTGTACCCTTTTCCATGTGTTAAGCGTGTCCATCTGTTCCATCTGTTGCATCAATCAAGCAAGTCGAACTCGCCGTGCTGCAGACACTCTGGTCGCGTCAGCACAAACATCAATCTAAGAACCCAAACTAATTAGACAAAACCACCCGCCAGTCAAAGGACCAAGATGAAAGGTGTTGACCACACCCATCCTGTAGGACAGCAGCAAAAGCCTGCAGGTCCTGTGGTGAAAAATATGGCCGGGCGGCGAAAATCGCACCCTTGGGTATGGCTTTGCCACATTTATGAATCAGGGTCGATTCATGCCGCCCAGGGAGCCGAACTTGACCCTCAATTGAGAAGACACGCGCACAAACGCGCTTCACAATTTGCAGGATGTCTTTAAAAGTGGCTTTGTCATGTTGCAGCTGCTCAAACACAAAACCACCTCGAATGAACAGTAAGGTAAGCTCCACATAGGAAACAGATTGGTCCTCCTGAACTCTCCACCGCAGCGTCGTGAGGAAGTCAAAAATCTGACATATATCCCCTGTACTGTAGGGAACAGTGAGGTCGTCAGCTGAAGGGAACTCACCAAGAAAACGTTGATCATACAAAGACAACGCGATGTCCCAGTCCCAACTAGGAAACCGTGCACGGTAGTCCGGTGTGGAAGAAAAGGGCAGTTTGCTTTCCTTTGTTTCATATTGGTCACGAACCTGACATGTCGACCCAATGGCCCAGTTCAAGCGCGCCAATGCATGTTGTCGTCTGCAAATAACACGCTCAATCCCGGTAAAAAATCTAGGGTCAACAACTGCAATCAGAGAGGCAGCTTCCTTAGCCTTCAAATCCGCAACACGATTACAAAGGATTTGCTGCCTAGTCAGCCCAAAACTCTGCGCCACTTCCTCTGTAACATCACTGTCTGCAAGGTCATCACATGTATGTGATTTCTGCCACACAAGGACAACCGGATCGGGATGAAGCCGTCTCCTTGTGAGCCACAGTTCACGCAAAATCCTCCACCATGGAAAAAGACTCCAAGTGGTTTCAACACGACCAGTGGATTGCAACTGCTGGAACATCTCGACTATGGTAAGGCTGTCAGTATAAATGCAGACCGGGCTGCAGGAAATGGCAACCGCACGCATAATTGCATAGAGCTCCGCAGTGTAAGATGTCAACTGGAAGTGACATACAGGCCCCTGATCAATGCAAGTCATGTCGCCAGTCACAACTGCGTAACCAGCAGCACACAGCCAAAAGGACTTCTGCATGAGAACAGAGCCGTCGGTCCAAAGGGAAACCTGAGGCATTGTCGAGTCAAAGCTTTGCACAGCTGAAACATCCCATCGAGTGAGGCTGAGCCTATGATTTACAACCTCAACCGGATGCTCGAAAATGCCAAGATTCCTATAATTGGGGCCAAACTCATGGGGAATGCATGCTTGTAAATCCGGAGGACATGCTAAGCAGTCACAGACAACATGGGACAGTGATTCTTTCACCTGGCCACAAAACCTACAATCTGCAGTCTCACTGAAACCTGCAGCGAATCTTCTATCGTTCGTAATGGTGCATCCCACCAATTGAGAGTCAAAATGTGGTTGCAACCAAGAGCAAGGATCCTCTGGTTTGGCATGGCAAGACTTAAACAACGTCGAAAGATGAAAGTCAAGAAGGCCAGTAGGTTTAAAAATGTCCTTTCTAGGTTTCAAACCCGCAGTCTCGTAGCAAGCTTGCCTACCCATGACATGCAAGAAACCTTTAAGGTCCTTCGGATGAACCTCCAAAACAGAGAAACTCTGGCGCCCAATACGGATTGAAAGATCCGGAAAAATGGCCATGTGGAAAATGTTCAAAGCTTTCTGAAAATGTGCGAGAAGGCTATGCTGGCACTGCATCATCTTATCATAATGAGTTCGAAAGACCTGGATATAACAAGGGGATGCATGGATGAAGCGCCACATGTTTCGTACAGCGCAATACGCTCGTGCAATGGACGGCTCAACAAGACATGGCTGTGACAAAAAACAGAAAACGAACATCTTAGATCGCCAGTGGGGGCGATTGTGCCAGAGGGCCGTTGCAATGACCCCTTGAACCTTATGGAGGGCACTCTTGGGCATGTCAGAAATTTCAGAAGCAAAAGAACACTGGGGAATGACTTTCGTCGCAATGAGATGGGTTTTACACTTGATAGAGAGGGGAAGAGCAGCAATGTTCCGCACATCATTACAAATTTTATCTGTCTTACTGTCCGGAAAAAGCATACACTTCCGTTTTGCGGTGTACAATTTTGCACCTAGTACATCAAGTTCCAAAACAAGCGGAATGTTTGGAAACAAGGCTTTGGCAACTCGCCTGGCCTCAGTTGTGGTTGCCCAGAGAGAACTCTTATCAGCGTTCAGCTTCTGGCCAATGAGAAGGCCCCACTGATGAGTGACATCGAGCGCCGTCTGCAGGCATTGGGCATGAATAAGCCGCACCCAGAGATAGGGGTCATCAATAAAGGCCTTGCATGCAACATTGGGGATCAAGGACATAAAACGTGCCCAAACGGCCATATGTACATTGATAGCGAGGAGTGATAGGCTGCACCCTTGCGCAACTCCATTGGCACATGTGAGGGGTTTGGAAGAGGTCCATCCCCTGTAGGCAACGTGTTTCTTCAACCCTTGATAAATCTGCAGAAAGGCATTAGCGATGGCACAGGGCAAACCAAGGGCTAAGAACAATGCAGCCGTGTACTGAGGGACAAGGCGGTCAAAACACTTAGACTGATCCAGCTTAATCCCAATCAAAGGATCGTGCAGAGCATATGACTTGTCCACTTCAAGTCTCAGGCCAACACTAATGTCAGTCATTGAGCGTCCCTGGATACCCCCACTCAATTGGCGAGGAAGCGAAACAGTTTGCCACTGTTGCAGCTGCTTAAACCGAGTGCCGGTATATGCGAGCAACAACGGGGGAAGGACTGTAATTAAGCGCTTATTCAAGGGAGTGGAGGGGCCAGGCTTGTTGAGAATAGCCTGCTTAGCACGAACAAGCACATCCGGAATGGACAAATTGCAATCGTTCTCCAAGGCACTAAAGAAATTTGCAATAGCATCGCAGCAACACACCGGAAGGCGTTGCAGATCACTTGTGCGCCAGCCATCCATGCCAGGGGCGGCATCAGGCTTGCGACGCTGGATCGTGTCGAAAATGTCACTTCCCGTAAGGGGAGGTAAAACAAAGGACTCGATGTCGTGATCAAGATAGGGCCAAATGACACGAAGCATCTGCGTCGGGTCGTGCTGGAGGACATTGGCACTAAAAACATCATCCCATGTGTTGGTGATGCAAGCAATGGCATCAGGAGG